GGGGGGAAAAGGGAGACGGGGAGGGAAATGGGAGGCGGGGAGGAGGCGGAAATCTTTTTTTTTCAATAAAAAAATTATATTAAAAATGTTCTTTTCAGCGGTTGGAACAATATAGTTTTTTACATTGGAAAAAAAAAAGAGGAAAAGGGAAAACAATTCTCTTCCAACACTATAAAGAAGGAACTACTGCAACACAATTCCATAGCTATAAATCTTCTTGAAATATTCTCTTCATTATAAATCTAACAAATTCAGAAATTATTACAATTTTAAGGTAATAAAATCTTAGCTGCAAGGGCTTTCAAACAATGTCACATTTTCTGGCCCTTCTACAAGTAAATCAGCAGCTTGGTCTCAAGTATTTGTCTCATAACAAAGGTAGGGAGGTTATTGTTTAACAGTTGGTGTGTTTCACTCCAGCAACCCCAAACCAACAGCATCATATGGGCTTAGTAATGCAGCTTAGTAATAAAGGCTTTCCTAACATCCGCACGCACAATCCCTGGTTCAATCCCTAACACTACACTTATGAACTCCAGGCCCTGGAGATGGGAATTGTGGGAGAGAAAGCTTATCTATGGAAGACATAATTTAAAATGTGTAATATTTGATAACAGGATGAATGTGCCTTTCATTTAAGTACCTTACTACTCCTTTCTCACACAGCACACATCAAGTTCATCTGCCCTGTGCTTCTAGCGCTTCTTCCTCATTCACACTGTCCTGCATCCACAGGGTTCTTCACTGACTTCCTTTCTCCATATCCAGGCTCTTTTTGCCCTTCAATCTTCAACATACACATACTAGTTCTTAAATCTCCAATTTCTCCTAGAATTTAACACCACTAGTTTATACTGTTTGGGTAATAAAAAAATTAATAGCTGTTTATTATTTTTTACTTTACCAATAAATTATGACGTCACTTGTCTATTATTGCTTCTTCCAGTCAGAGATAGTCCAGACTTAATAATGTTTTAACTTGCATGGGTTTTAGCTTTTTGATGGTGCAGGAGTAGGACACACTCTGGAGAAATCAATTTGGATTTGGGTCTCTCCCCTAGCAAGCAGTATGTGCTGATCCATTTTCTTGGTGTATAGGCTACAAACAGCTTCCAGTCATCTAGGCAACCCTCAGATGAATAGCTGATGCTCTATGGCGTTCTGCATTGCTAGGTTATGTGTTCAATGGCCAGATGGGTGTCTTTCTGAATAAAAATGTGCAAAGATAGAGAAGTCCACAACCTCCAGCAAGTCCCACAGACATTCAAACAGGTGGTTTCTGATGACATTCTAGGATACTCTTTCTAGAAGACCAGTAAACAAATGTAACCATCCAGTGGGCCACAGAAGAGTTTGTGAACCTAGAGACAGATCTTCCAAAATGATTGGAAGATTCAAGCATGAGGCAAATGTCTAACTGCACTGCCCCTCAGGGGAAATTTGTATAAAAAATTTAAAATTAAGGAAAAAAATTTGATATAATACTATGACAGTATTAATAAAATAGCATTCTTTGAACTAAAACTTAAAAATGTAAAAGGAAGGTGGGGAAGGAAAACTAGTAGTAATAAAAGATCTATAATTCTTACTATTTTTAGAGATGTATTTATTTTTATTTTATGTCTATGGGTGTTTGCCTACGTGTATACAGCCTACAGAGGCCAGAAGAGAGCATCAGAGACCCTGGAACTAGAGTTATAGATGGTTGTGAGCCACCATGTGGTTGCTGGGAATCGAACCTGGGTCCTTTGGAAGAGCATCCAGTACTTTTAACTGCTGAGCCATCTCTCCAGCCCCTAAATCAAATTTTAGAATACTGATTCCTAGAAATAAATGATGAATATTTAAGAATTCAATGAACAGAGAGAAACACCTACCCCAAGTTAGGAAATAACATCATATTACATATGCAAGGGTTTTCTTTTACTAAGCAGAGACATACACCTCTATAAGACAGAGAGTAGTGCTGACGTGCGTACCAGGCACTGTAGAGCCAATCTCATCTCCATTACTGGTTTCATCAGCACCGTAAGATCTTAGTAGGTCTTTCGTTTTTTCATCATCTGCTTCCTCCAAAGCAGTCCTCTGTTTCTGATCTTTCTGATTAGGGTTTGCTCCACGTTCTAGGAGTGTCTCAGCTGCCTGGAAGGTAATCATTCAGTTATGTCTACATGTATCTGCTATTATTTTAAGACTCCACCACCAAGCACATCTCTTCAAAGTATGAACAATAAACATTTCAATTACATTTGATAAGGACACTGCAACTTTGATTTGACTTGACTGGCCTCGTAGGGAAACACAAACAACAGTACTAAACACAGTATGCTGCTTCCCTGCAGTAAAGAGGTAAGCATAGGTAATACCACTTATAGATCACGTCTGCCCAGAACTGCACTTCTTCTGCTCCCCCAAAGTAGCTGCAAACCATGTATGCCCTGCTGAAACACAGTGAATATGACTAAGTAACAGGATTCTTTATTAAATTAATTCAAATTCAAACAGCAAAATATAGCTCACAGCTACTGTACTGGACAGCACAGGTTTAACCTGCAGATTCAGCCACTTGTATGCAAATGTGGAGTCTCTGATACCGTCCCACTGTTCTTCCCACCATGCTGGAGGACAGAGTAAAGAAGATGGCAAGCCTTGCTTCAGGACCAATTCAGTGTAGTTTAATAAAGTCCTAAAATTCTCCCTATAGAAATATGTCACCTAATAATTATGATCACAAGATATCAAAGATGGAGATGGTATTTTAACAAGTCAAAAAGGGTGGCTCCCGCTTTCACAGCCATTGCAGTACATTGAGCTCCAAAGAGACAGCGCCGGGGCAAGCGAGGGCCGGACGGGCACTGGGTGACTCTGTGCCTCGCGGACGAAAATCAACTAAACATGGGCAAAGGAGATCCTAAGAAGCCGAGAGGCAAAATGTCCTCGTATGCATTCTTTGTGCAAACCTGCCGGGAAGAACACAAGAAGAAGCACCCGGATGCTTCTGTCAACTTCTCAGAGTTCTCCAAGAAGTGCTCAGAAAGGTGGAAGATCATGTCTGCTAAAGAAAAGGGGAAATTTGAAGACATGGCCAAGGCTGACAAGGCTCGTTATGAAAGAGAAATGAAAACCTACATCCCCCCCCCAAAGGGGAGACCAAAAAGAAGTTCAAGGACCCCAATGCACCCAAGAGGCCTCCTTCGGCCTTCTTCTTGTTCTGTTCTGAGTATCACCCCAAAATCAAAGGAGAACACCCTGGCTTACCCATTGGTGATGTTGCAACGAAACTGGGAGAGATGTGGAAGAACACTGTTGCAGATGACAAGCAGCCCTATGAAAAGAAGGCTGCCAAGCTGAAGGAGAAGTACGAAAGGGATATTGCTGCTTACAGAGCTAAAGGAAAACCCGATGCAGCAAAAAAGGGGGTGGTCAAGGCAGAAAAGAGCAAGAAAAAGAAGGAAGAGGAAGATGATGAGGAAGACGAAGAGGATGAAGAGGGGGAGGAAGAAGAGGAAGA